GAACAGAACAGAACAGAACAGAACAGAATTCATTTCTTTATTGGCCAAGTGTGGTTGGACACACAAGGAATTTGATGCCAGCCTTACGAGGTAGATCAAATAGAAAACACAACCAGATGAGTTAATTCTTTACTGTAAGGTTGTATTAGCAGAATCTTACAAATTTGAAATCTTTCCCCACCAAGCATCTCCTTCATGGCCCCCCAAACAGGTGGGAATCTCTTCTGAGCCTCTTGCCCCACCTACCTTTCTGCTGCAGGCTAAGCCGCCTTCCTTTGGTTGGGTCTGATTGCCCTTTTTCCAAGTAATTCCCACATACCATTGAGATCTCTACTCAAATAAGTCTTATTTGATTAATAATATGATTATAGACATTTTCAAAGGTGATACCCACTTGTGGTGGCATCCTGATTTGGAATCTTTTTCCTAGAAAGGGAATTATTTCCTAGGTAAAACAAATATATTTTAATACTTCTAAGTCTTTTAGTATAGTAATATTTTAACAAGAATCTCCTGCTACATGAAGATTTTAATTAAAATTTGTTATTCCATTTTTGCTCTTTAGAAATAATTGTGTTTTTAGTTTAATTTTAGACTCAGTATCTTAAAATTGTTTGTATGCTGCCCTGGCAAAAAATTGCTTTTAAATGTAACTATATATTTTTGAAGAAAAGTAATAGCAGTAGCTATGTGCAGATTCTAAAAAAGAAAGTTGTCACTTCTCAGTGATACAGTTGGGATCATAGAATATTATACTACAATTACATCTGCAGACAGCTAACGGTGCATCAGCTCTAGCGATTAACACTGCAATTTATTTGACGTAATTTGATATTTAGTCAATACTGAGTAGATGGTATTTTAAGAAGGTAACTTTCAATTTAAAATCCAAGAGTTTATGTTTGCCTACAAATAACTAAAATTTGAACATTTCTTTTAAACAGACTGGCTCTTACCAAATTGGATATTTTGGATGTATTTCCTGAAATTAAAATTGGGGTTGCCTACAGATTAGATGATAAAATCATACCTCATTTCCCAGGTAAGAAAATATAATGTACCAAATATGTTCATTCTACAATGCTACTGCTACTAAAAAGATATAGTTACTATTAGATGTATTCCATCGCTTCAGTAGGTTTTGTTGATACAATTCCATATATTTCATCTATAAAAAAAAGTACAGTTCCCTGCATTAATTACTTGGTAGGGAACTTTCCCTTCTTGAATTAAGACTTTAAGACTTCAGTTGTTTATTTTCATTCATTTTGTAAACTACCAAAGGAATGATTCCATTACCATTTTAAGATGGGCTTATATTCTTCAGTTCCGTGATTGGATAAGCTTATTTTTATGAATGTTTTTCTGTGATCAAAACGGACACAATTGTTCTGGACTCTTAGTAACTAATGATTTGGTTCATTAATTGATTAGTCTTATGTTAGTAACATAAATATAACTCTATTAGTCTGGTTCTTCTTTCTTCTCAGCAAACCAAGAAGTCTTAAATAAAGTAGAAGTGCAGTATGAGACCTTCCCAGGATGGAAGAAAGACATATCAAATGCGAGGACATTTGATGAATTGCCTGTAAATGCACAAAATTTTGTTCGATTTATAGATATGGAGCTCGGAGTTCCAGGTAAGTGCAACGCAAGGGATCCTTTAAATCAGATGTGTTGTAAAATTGTCATTGGAGAATCATACTTTTGTGCAACAATTCATAATTTTTGTTGTTAGCTACTTTTAGCAATCAAATCGTCCTCTGTAAATCTTAAGTTTATGAAAAAAGAAGCACTGAATCAAAAATCCTGATTTACAAATGAATATTAATAAGTAATATTAAACTGGTTGCTTGTGGTTTTAGAACATATAATATATTTATTTTCAAAAAAGGAAATTGTTGTATTTAATAATAATTTAAACTGAATGAAAAGTTCCTTTTGAATTTTAAGCAATTAAAAATGATCATCCTAATATTAAAAGAATGGAATTATATTCCCAAATGTGTTTAAGCTTTAGCAAGCACAATTTATTGTTCCATTATTTGATAAACTGGGGAAGTTCATACTTCCCACTTACAGAAGATGATATATATTTTTTAAAATGTACATTTAAAAGATATTGATGGAAAATACTGAGCTTTCATATATCATATTTTGCATCCTCCTCCCACTATGGTAGAATTATAGTTTTTCTAGTTATTTTTCCCCTGCATCAATACTGTACCCTTGACAGAATTGCTTGAAAAAATTGATCCTAACTGATAATACAACATAGGATTAAGGAACAGCCATCACACAATTCACTAATCACAGTATTGACCAACTAGTTCAACAAAAGTACTAATATACATTATCTGTGAATAATAAATTAGCTCTACCAAATTACCAAAGGACTATTAAATATTGATTAAAAAGTCTGTGCCAATGGTAAGGTTGGTATCTGATGTAGTTTGAACCAGCTGATTTTTCTTGAGAATTAATCACAGTAAAACATGCTTTTTTGACTAATTTTCATGTGCCTCGTGAAATGGTAATTATAATTTTAAGCAATAATGCTTTTTCCTATCGATTTGCATATAATTTAGTTAGTAAGAAAGGCTTTCTTCCAAAATATGATGCAAAAAATGTTTTTGTTTTTGCAGTTAAGTGGATTGGAGTAGGAAAATCCAGGGAGTCAATGATCCAGCTCTTCTAAAGATATTGGATAATTTGAAGAAAAGAAAGCACACTCCACGGAGACTGCTTGTTCACATACACACACACTCACACAGACGTGTGTCTTAACCCAATAAGCAATTTATTTGGATGAGGAAATTGGAAACATCTTGTAAAACAACAATGTAAAACAACTAGAGGTAGTCTGGGAAAAAAACCCAGTTGTTGCTATAAAACATTGATATATCAGTATCATTTATCTTACTTTTAAGTTCCAATGGCAAGTACTGCCACCATTTGCCACTGATATTTTTTTTCTCCAAATGTATCCCCAGGCCTTTTTTCTGTTTATATTTCTAAGTCTACTGTACATTTGCTTTTGGTGGTATTACTTTCTGAAATTTTGGATGCTTAAGATAATGCAGTTTTGCACAGTTTTACATCTTCATTTGTACTCCTAGAGCTGTTATACTTTGTATGGTTGCTGACGTAGTGTGTGATTAAAGAGAGGGGTGATTTTATAATGATGACAAACCTAATTTTTTGTTACAGTTTTTATTACAAAGATAATGAACCATAGTTTAGATGGGGTGCTTAATATGTATACAGTACAACTTAATTTATAAATGATAATATTGGAAGTGCTTATATCCTTGTATGGAATTCATTCTTTTCCCTTCTCCCTTATTAATACTTTTACATTTCAGAATTTCATTATTCAGTTCAGTTAATCATTTCATTGGCCTATTACTCAATCTATTCAGTAAGATTCATTTAGAGGATGATTGGAAATAGGATGACCTAAATATTACTTAATTATTTTCTTAACACAGAGAGTCTTCATGGGTTAAGATGACTTGACTACCCTATGTAAATAGGCTTCAGAGACAATATTTATGTAAATATTGACTTTTTAAAGAACAGAATTCATCCTTGGCAGATATTCAAGACAATATATTCTGTAGTTTCTAGTTGTGCTTTGCTAAATACTTTTCCTTCGAATTTATTGTATGTCTATATTGATCTAGCTTGTAGAAATCTAAGTAATTTCAAGCCAATTATATTCTTTAATCTTGACACCATTCATGACCTTTTCTTACTCTGTGGGCATTATTTTGTAAGATGAAGAATGCTGATTTTCACTCTGTTTCTATGTAATTCTGTACCTTTATTCTGCAGTATTTTAGGAGGGGTGAGCCACAGCTTCACGTAGGATGCAATAAGTGAATGTACATGTATATTTTTAACTGACATTTTATTAAGAGGTTGTATCTAATAGCTGTCTTACAACACAGTATCTAAAAACAAGATGCTAACATCAGGGAATTTAACTTAAGTTTTCCAGTCCTGTTCATATTTGCAAAGTATGCAAAGAATTCATGTCATTTGAAGTACATTTTCATGATCGTTGTGATGAGTTTTGAAAAATATATCCTAGAGTGTGAACTCTTAAAATAATGTATTAATTTCTTTTGATAAAATGTGAGGATGGAGGGGAAACAGCAGCTCTTAAAAAATTTCTATGAAAATACCACCTCACTTTCTGGGAAAGTTAGCAGTAACCTTTAGACCGATATAGATGTTGCATGAAGAAACATGATAAAGTTCTAACATAAATAGAAAATCCTTACTGTAAAATAACCATGATTTAGCACTGTAATAGCTGTTATTTCTTTTTACTTTGGAGGGGGCGGGTTGCACATGGAATTTTATTTTGAAATAAAAGGAAATTTACAGTCAGCAAAAAGGGGCACACCAAGATTATCAAAATAATTTTAGACTGTTAGTCTAGGTTGTCAGAAAAATCATATGCTTCAGTGACTAGAAGTTTTGAAAATGTTCCAGACAAAATAAATGGAAATCCTGGTGCCACAATGCCTTTTTAGAAGATTGCTTGTTTGTTAAACATGGTCTTGCAAAAATTGTAAGTCATCTGTTATTGACAAGATAAAAGTATTTTAGAAAACCAAAGTTTTCCAAGTTTTCTTTGTACTCAGAAACAAGTATGTTATTTCTAATATTTCTGACACAAACAAGTTCCAGTCTTGATGCTCTGGCATGTAAATATTACAACAATAGTTTTCCTGCTGTCACATATGCCTTTTTCTTTAATATTACCCTGAGCCGATTTGTGTCAAAGATTCATTTTCCTGATTGCTGAAACTTAAAAAGTAAGTAAATCCTCAGCCCTGCATTTAGAATTATTTTCATAGAGCAGAATTGTCTATGGAGATTCTCAGTCATCCAGATCATAGTTGTCCCAAAGATGCTTTTTCACGCGGCAACAGGACTTTCTTGTTTTTCTTTTGAAGAATGCACATGATCAAGCTGCCTGCAAGGAGTATAAATCCTTCCATTCCCCACCATCCAGTCAGAGCTCAAGAAGTTTCTTGGAGAAGAAGCAAAACATCTTCAAAGGAAAAACAAGAAAGTCCAGTTGCCTCGTGAAAAAGCATCTTTGAGATAAAGCAGAATTGTGGTTTGGTCCTAAGCACAGCATTGATAGTAATGCTTTCAAAATTGCCTCCGTCCCCATTTTGGAATGTTGGCTTCTTGCATATCTGTTTTCTTACTAGACTAACACCAATATATTCTGTCTTTAAGATTTTATGTCTAACATCGATAGAAATACACTGAGCAAATTAGTACTTTTCTTACTCTATTACTTTCTATTCTGTATTTTTCTGTGTTTATTGAATATTTGAACATTAGTTTTATTTAAGCTTATATTTAGCGTGGAGTGAATAATGCTACTGTATATTGGCTACCAGAGCATTTTTTTTATATTTTATAAATATGCTACAGATTTTACTTTTGCACATATGAAGGAAAAAACCTCAGACTTTAGTTTAGTGCACTCTACACACATTTAAGTTCTGTGTCTAGATTTGTCAAGTTTCTTAGAGCTCTGTCAAATAGCCTATGTGCTTGAAGAGCTAGTGCTCTTATTGCTTGTTCCTTTGGGCCATGTATAACATACAGATGGTACAGATCCCTCAGAACAACTTTACTGATTACACATTTGTGTTTGTCCCAAGTTTTAAGCTCTAACAAGTTATGTCTGGGTAAAAAAGGAATAAAAAAATTAATTTGCTTTCTATAGAAGCTGAACTGAAGAGGCTTCTTGGATGAGAAGTGAAATGTTTTCAGGGAATGCAACCCAGAAAGTCCAGTTGCCTTTTGGAAAAGCACCTTTGGGACAACCATGATCTGGATGATTGAGAATCTCCATAGACATTTGCTTTTAGGGCTTTAGTATCTTCATCATCCAGATTGGTTTTGTAATTGTAAAAAAGAGTGGCCCTGTTCTAATAGGAGAATCTTTTCCTGTTAATTAGTGTTATTAGAAAATACATGTCCTGATCTTTTCTGTCATTTGTTAAATTATATCCTGGGTTATTCAAGAGTGGCCATGATCCTTATATCCTTCTGAAAAATGTACATTGAGGACCAGAGTGAAATAAGCACATGTTGCAGAAAACATGCAAGGGGCATATCAATGCCATTAAGTTAAGTTACCATGGAAGTGCTTGAAATGTGGTTTAAAGAATGGCACAAATTTGTATTGCTTTGTTACATGAAGCACAGACATTGTATATTTTCTCAGACTCTTTTTCTTAGTTTTATAGGAATACAAACCTCTGACGAGTTGATAATAAATATCCTTAAATTACTGTGGTAATACAAAGAGAATATGCATACAATGCACATAATTAATTACAAATCTACAAAGCTGCCAATCTATGTTGTTCATGTCACTTGTATGCTGGAGCACTTCTGTGATTAGAAAAAAATAAGACTGAACCAGGCACCCAAAAATGATAATAACAGGGTATGCTGTTGGGTACTACTTTTTGATTAATGTGCAAAATTATTCAGTGTTCTTAAATGATTTTCCTTCAGTGCACTAGAAAGTTTCTGGAAAAATATAAATAAAAATAAATAGTGCCAATAATATTTCTAAATGTTCAAAATGTGTAGTGATGCCATAAAAATTTTATTAAATTATCCAAACAGGTGATTAAAAACTACATAGTAATAATCACGCAGTGACTACGAAATGGTAAAGAAAAATTGTTTCTTAGGATTTTATATATTACTTTTTAATTTTGTGTATTTAAGACAAAATAGAACTATTCATAAAAACAATGCCTGCTATTTACTACAGCGAGAGGCTGCAATGTTGCTTCTTAATCCATTATTTTGCTGAACTTCCATTTCTTAGACTGAAATATGTTTTCTTTATCTTTCAGCTATTTACAATGGAAATTTAGAAGGGATCTATATCAAATTTAAATTAACCATATTTAAAATTGTTCAGCTTTTCCATAGGGTTAGCAGTCATCTTTAGTACATTTGGATTAAAAGAAGTCTAATAGGATCTTTTCATATTGTTGCTTTAAAAAAGAGAAGAACTTCAGAAGTTAGAAGTTATCCAAAACCCATGAAAGAAGGTTTAATTCTCTCTTTCGTCATAGCAGGTGTACTTTTCCAAAGTGACAGTATTTCAGCATCTGATCTGTGGCGATAGCTATCTGCACTGCCTATAATTTTAAAAGAAAAATAGGTTTTGATCTGAATTTAGAAAACAAAATTCAAGTTTGACAATATTTGGTAGCAATGTGTAACCTTTCCATTATCGACATACTAATATACATAAGCAGACTTCAAATTCTCCAGATACATATTCCCCTTAAATGTATTTTCCCCTATTCTCTTCAGTAATTGTCTTCTTTTTTAATTGACGACTTGCCATGATTGATATATTTACATTTTCTCACTTGTGTCTGGGAGGGGAATTAAGGGTTGGGAGGTGGGCTGGATTCAAACCAAGGTCACACTTTGAGTTGTTTTTCATTTTGCAGCATCATTCCTTGCCATGGATAGATTGTTCCCTTCTAGCTCTGGAGTAGTGTGCCTCCTGCTAGGGATAGGAAGGACCTATTTAATCACTGTACCCAGCAAACTGATCCAGTGGAATTTTAAAGAGATTATGGGATTATTCCTGAAACTCTTGCATGCTGCGGGTGAGGTATAGTTACTAACTCAGATGACAACAGATCTTAGATCAGATCACACTTATGTGGATTCTGTAACCTGGACTCCCATGGAACTTCCTGGTTTTCCAAGGAGTTCAAGGAGATGAAATATCTTAAGACAGCAGTCTGCAACTTTCCAGCCTTGCAGACTGGTGAGGGAGGAAGAGGGAATGGTTCTGCACAAGAGGCAGGCGAGGATACAGGCGCAGCTCCTTTTGCGCAAGTGGCAGACACGCCTGCTGCTTGCACAAATGGAGCTGCGCATGCACCCTCACCTTCCAGCTGCACATGCAGATGAAACTGCATGCAGGCACGCTCACCCACTGCTTCCGGGGTCCAGTTCTGAATGGGCCACAGCCCGGTAGGGATCCCTTGTCTTAGGAGACACTTATAGTGCCATTCGAGGAAGATAGAGAAAATCTGATTGAGCATACATAAGATTGGGATTTTCCTGACAGTGGTAAGAGCAGCAAAATCGGCTCTTATTGCATCTGCAGAGAGCCAACTGGTAGTCCTGTTGCAGGTGACCAGATGCCTCCTTGGTAAGGAGAGGTTGTGATTGCTGTGAGGATTATTCTAGGCATCTGTTGGACAAAGTCTCTTGGATCTGTTTGAGCTGGGGTCTAGCTGGGCAGGTCCTGTGGAAGGGAGTGAGGCACATGAGCTGCAGTCTTGCCAGGTTATCTGAGGTGAATTTCACATACCTAGCCCTGAGACAGTAGACGGGGTCCTTGGAGCTGTAAGCTCTGCCACATGTGCTATAGATCCATGGCTCTCCTGACTAATCAAAGCCATCCAGGAAGTGGCATTTGGCTGGGTAAAAATGGTAGTAAATATTTGTGGGCCAGAGGGACTGATTCTGCCTGTTCTGAAGTGGCCAGTGTTCTGTTCCTCTCCCCCTAACAGTACTGCCCAATTTTCATCCAGTTTCCAACTTTTCTTTTTAAGGGAAGGTTGTTGAGAATTTTGGTACTTCCAAAATTCACTGGTACCCTATTGATGCCCTACCACTATTACATGAGCTGTATTGGCTTTGGTTTATTTGTTTCTTCTGTTAGATTATGTTAATAGGTTATAAGTTTTAAATTTTAATTCAGCTACATGTAATGCTTAGCTGGTCTAGTGGTTTGGTATATCTTGCCTACTATACTTGAAAATACATGTCACTTATTCAGTTTACTATACTGATGTAAAATACGTCAGTATAGTAAATCCAGAAAAAAAATATTTAAAAGTTCAATACACATCATGCTCTGGGTACTTTTCTTCAGCTGCATTTTGTGTAATCTTGAAAAGGCTTGTTGATCATAGATAATTCTATTCCAGTGTCCTGACAGAATATATGTTTGTATACAAAATGTGCTAGCAGGTTATGAATTTACTCACCTGATTTGAAACACGGTAATGTAAATGCTTCTTTGTATGTAGTCTGTGTGTACCAGTCAAAGACCTTCATCTTTGCATCTTGATAGTGAATATACTGGTGCAGAATTAAATAATCAAACTCATGCGGATATATAATTTCTTCTTTTTTTGGAGCTGGTGGTAGCTTAGTAAAAGGTCTAAATGAAAAGCATAAATAGTTCAGTGCTTGTCTAAAGAGTCAAGTTTGCCAAAATGTAGACTACTCATAAGAATAGCCCCATGTCCAAACTTTCGTCTAAGGATCTCAATGAAGTGGACTATGCCGCCAGTGCAGTAAAGCAGTATTATGTCTTCCAAATGAATACAGGTAATTCCCACCTCGGACCATATTTGGAACCAGAACTTCTTTTACCAAGTAAGGTGGTTGTTTAATGGATCACGGCTTATTTTTATGATCTTTTCTGCTATGGTTGTTAAGCAAATCACTGCATTATGTGAATTGTCCGGTTAAGCAAATCTGGCTTTTCCCATTGACCTTGCTTGTTGGAAGTTGGCTGGGAAGGTCTCAGATGGTGGGTTGCATGACTCCCAGATGCTGCAACCATAATAAATACTTTCTAGTTACCGAGTGCCCAAATATTGATCACATGACTGTGGGGATGCTGTGACAATCATAAATGAGATAATGGGTTGTAAGTCATTTTTGTAACAGGGAAAAAACCCAATTTTTTTACTTCAAAATCATTTTCTGAATTGAGACTGAAAAGGAAATTTGTAGAATGTTTTAGGTATGTCTTTAACAGTGATAATGAAGAATAATGAGGTTTCTTTTACCTTAATTGTCCTTCAGGAGGATACGCAATGTAAAGTCGTGCCAGCTGTCCAGGAAAGTAACCAATAACATCCTTTCCCTGATGAAAAATAGTTCTGACAGAACGAACGAACGAATGAATAAATGAATGAATGGGCATTTATATTTGAAATAGATTTTTCTAATTTGCATTACCCACTAAATTAATGGCAAAACATCCAACTATTAAATAAAATCTATCATAAATATGTCAAAAGCTGCACTATTTTTTTCTATGACTAACACAGAATGAAAATGCCTAAAAGAGCCATTGTGAGTCTCCTGTATCTACAGTGATCCAATTTGTGATAATTACTTCTATCGTGAAATAAGAAAAGAGCTATTTTTTCCTTAACCAAAGTGAATTGGGTAAAAACATACTTTTGATTGGCAAGTTTAAAAAGTGCTTCAAAGCCCAGAGAGCTTCATAGTTGAAAGGCAGGATAAAAAAAATGTCAATCTAAATAAATAAATCTGTCCTGCTTGTAAGATAAATGAAAGTTGTATTAATAAACAACATTTTAGAATACTTAATACTGATAATTATGATATTGTAATCTATGCTTCCTTTGTTTCTAGAACATCTAGACAAAATGGTTTTTGCAACAAATCACTGCAATTATAATTAATATGTAATTATTATTAATCAAAATAGGACTATATAGGTAGTCCTCGACTTACAACCATAATTGAGCCCAAAATTTCTGTTGCTCAGTGAGACATTTGTTAAGTGAGTTTTATCCATTTACGACCTTTCATGCCACAGTTGTTAAGTGAATCACTGCAGTTGTTAAATAGTAAGACGGTTGTTAAGTGAATCTGGCTTCCCCATTGACTTTGTCAGAAGGTCACAACAACTGTAATCCTGGGACACTGCAACTGTCATAAATATGAATCTGTTGCCAAGCAGCTGAATTTTGATCATGTGACTATGAGGATGCTGCAAGTGTCAAAAATAGTCATAAATCACTCTTTTCAGTGTTGTAACTTTGAATGGTCACTAAATGAACTGTTGTAAGTTGCGGACTACCTGTAATTAAACTTAAATATATGTCATATATTTTAGGTTACATATAAATGATTTCCAGTTCTTCCCTTGCATCTAGTTTTCTCTGATTCTCCTTTGGTGAATATTGAAAATACATATTTTTGTGGACCAATCTTCTATTCTGTAAAACTCTGCAGACGGTAGAATATAGTTTCTATCTACTGTATGAATATAAATTATCCACAACTCAGGAATATGGTTACTTCAACAGCAGTACTATTGCATCAAAATAAGTATGTTTAGGTTGCAGCTTGAAATGCTTATAATCATATTTACTTTACCCAACAGTATTTTGAAACTAAATTGAGCAATGGTGGCACAGTGGTTAGAATGCAGTAGTGCAGGCTAACTCTGCCACTGCCAGGAGTTCGATCCTGTCCAACTCAAAAGTCTGACTCCATTTTTCATCCTTCTGAGGTCGGTAAAATGAAGACCCAGATTGTTAGGGACAATATGCTGGCTCTGTAAATTACTTAGAGAGCATTGTAAAGCACTATGAAATGATATATGTCTTAAGTGCTATTGCTATTGCTTCTTTTCTGTCAGCAAGATAATTCCTGGCCTGGTAACAATCCTGCTGAAAAGGGATAGGGAGGAAATTCCTTTCCTGACTGAAACATCCAGTGCTTCATCTTCCCAGAGGTTTGCTTTAAACTTCCTGGACATAGCAAGTCATGGAATACTCTTCTTTTTAGAACTTATAGGACAATTCTAAAGAGAATGCAAACTGCTGATGTATTAAGCACAAGTTTATATATAAAGTTTATATAGGCTTCCATTCCAACTGCAAATCCTATTCTTGACTAATAAAAATATTAAATGTGCCCTTCTGCTCAGGAAAAGCAAAGCAAAGTAAGCTGGTGAATAGAAAATTTATGGCAGAAGAAGCTGGAAAAGAGGTACCAGCGAGCAATTTTTACCTTATTTTCTGGTCATGCCACCCTACAGCAGGTTTTTAAAATTTCAAATGTACCCACCAGTCTAAAACAATTATTTTGACTGATTATTAGGCCATTCTGATGCAGGTCACAATACAAATACGATAATGTTTGTAAAATATTTTGAGCACATTCAAAATATTCTGAAGTAGATTATATTCTGAAGTAGATTTTTAACCTACTATATCCCTTTCTATGATGCATGAAAAGTAGTCATTGGAGATTTGTAATTAGACTACTTCATTGTAATTAGTTTAATGTTACCTTTGGTAAAGTGGCTTAAATAGGCTCAAAATAATCATTCTGAGATCCTGGATCAACCTTGAGGGATTTAGTTTGTTTTTTATACTTTACCCTGGAATGGTCTCTGGTGCTGGATCTATAAACTGTCGTAATTTTATTGCTGCAACTTGTCCTGCCATAAGAATTCCTAGAGAAAAAAAATACATTATACCTACTGCTACTAAGTCAATATTTACTCAAAATATAAAATCAGAGTCTCATAATACTCATATAGAAGCCCACCCATAGATAAACCAACCCTCAAATTTTTAACCAAAATACTGAAAAAAACCACTACAATTTTCATTGTATTTTGGTTAAAAATTCTAGAGAAGGTTTATGTCTTACACTCTAGAATAACCTCATTGGGGAATATCTCAGCAAAATCAACAGGACAAAGTTTGTTAACAGATGGAAGCAGAGGAAAATTCCTAAGTGTTTCTTAGTATAAATATCCACAACAAATTATAACTTCTTTTCGTAATAGTACCAATAAAGGTGAACATTTGTGGCTCATGGTTGAAATGAAGTGTCCTTGATGCTCTCTGAGTTTGGTTGTTTATTTGCAGATGTTTCATTACCCAAACTAGATAACATCAATGAGTGCTAGATGATGTTATCTAGCACTGATGATATTACCTAGTTTGGGTAATGAAATGTTTGCAAGAGAGTTTGCAAGCTCAGAGAACACCTAGGACCCTTCATTTTGGAGTACTATCTGCACAAGCACTTTGCACCAAGTATTATAGAGCTGGCTATGTACTAGTGTTATTATTTTCATTACATTATTGGCACTGGAGAATATGATGAGGTATATCTTGGAAACCTCAAGAGAGCACAGCAGCAATTGGTTGACTTGGCCTTTGAATACAGTGCAACAAATCTGAGTTCTTTAAACAATATTACACAGTATGGTAATGCACAAGGCCTAACCAAGTGAAGTAAGCACATTTAAATAGTTGAAATGCCTCAAGTCCAAAGAACTGTCCAAAGAACTATGATATTTTAGGCCATTTAATTATTATAGATTCCTGCCAAATTTGGATACCCGTATACCTTTTGAACACTTTACTACAAATGGGGAGGGTATGGCAGTGGAAAAACAACCCTGCAAATAAGCTTCCACAGAAGCAAATTATAATACTAGGTATTGTGCTCAAACATTATACCCGTAATGTTACATCCGTAATGATCATCCAACTATAAATCCATTGCATGAATGTCTGGGAAAAAACATTACACTGAATCAAAACTCTTGCGTATTATAGCACAGAACAATGAATCAAATGCCAATGATACAATATTAGGCTGTTCTGTATGTTCTAATTGGAACTTTTCAAACCTAAGCTGAGAAGTGTACAGAACAAATAGCTGAAATAAGCTGAGAAATCTAGTGAAACATAATTTTTAATTTTCCATTGGACAAAGTGAATTAAAATAAACCACAGATGGGAGTGTAAGTGGACAACAAGAAGCTTAAAACAACAGCAGCAACAATAGGACCTTTTTATTATACTGTAGATATTGTTCCTGAAAACACTCAGAAGAACACATTGAAGAAAATAGGGATACTGAAAGAAGTGGTGACTGATATAGATGGAGACTCAGTTGTAATTCTTGAATTACCACCTAAGGCCAGTGGTGGGATTCAGCCAGTTCGCATCACTTCAGCAGAACCGGTAATTTTTTGTTGCCCAGGCCCAGAATGGACTTCCAGAAGCGGCATCCACATAGAGAACTGGTTGTTCACATATTTGAATCCCACCACTGCCTAAGGCACTTATCCCCAAAATACCCACATACTTGTTTGTGGTAATAAAGATTATTCCATTATCGTACAAAGCTAGTACAATGCCAAGATTTATAATGCTAGCAAAGGTGGAAGGAAAGAGAAGAAGAGAACAGGGGGAGCAAGATGGATGGACTCAGTTGCAACTGTTATGGGTTTACCATTTGGAAGGTCTGAAGGACCAGGTTGAGGAGCTATCATTACAGAGAAAATCTATCTGTGTGGTTATTAAGAATCAGCACTAACTTGATGGCATATAATAAAAAAAAGTTTGATGAGGAGTGGTATTTTGTACTGGCCTCTTTTTATTATGAAGTATTTAAACATACCTGTGATCCTATCTCAGTTATCTTGGTCTGTCTGCATATGTTACAATTCTCATTGGAATTAGTGCTGTTATAAATTTCAGTGAAGCAAGCAGCAGAAACCCCTACTCCTTATTCAAGCGCTTTTTATTTGACCAGTAGAAATGATACAGTAAACAGGCATTTGGAAAATTATGATAAATTATCTGTCAACCACATGGATAAATTATGCTTTGGTTATTCCATGACAAGAGCCACACTGGCAAAATATAAATCTAATATAGTGGTTCTCAACCTTTTTATAGCCGCGAAAGCCAATAGAATAAGAGGGAGTAGCAGAGCTAAGGAAAAGGGGAAAAAATGGCGGAAAAAATGGCGAATTGCGTTGTTTGGCGACCCCCGTGAAATGGTCGTTCTACCCCAAATGGGGTCGTGACCCACAGGTTGAGAACCGCTGATCTAATAGCTGAATGAGTTAGAGATTGAGCAGTAGATAATTCTATGCTTATGCCCTAACCTAAGTAAATAAAGTCACTCCCCTTTTTGTCTTTCAATAAACATCTACCTGACCTTTGCTTTGATTCACTTATTATGTTTATATACTACCATTCAATTACCATACTTCTCTGGATAGTTTACAGTAAAAATATTGTTGGAAGCTGTCTCCCAAAAAGCACTTGAAACACTGAATGCTAATTATAATTAATTTATCAAGTTATATACATTGCCATCTTAACAGCTGAATGATCACAATAAAGCTTACATGATAATATTGAATGGAATGCAACTATTGTCTACAAAATATTTCAAGCCTTGTTAGTCAACCTTAGAACATCTAGCAGGATAATATTCAATCTGACATCTCCGATCCAACACACACAAACCCTGAACTGTTGAGACCTGCTACATTTATCAACACTTTCATATTCATATTTTCATATACTTGCCAGACAGCTCTTTGTAATTTTCATAAATGAGCTTTCAGTTTTGCATTATAGCAAATATCAACATTTCTAAATTTAGCTCCTACCCTTTCCCTGTAAACTATAAATTTATTGATTGACCTTTATAGTCTACTTTGATATTTTATATGTTGTACATTCATATTCTAGTTACACATGTAAATGTCTTTCAGTACAAATTAAATTTCACAATCAAATAGGGGTGTTTGAACTTAAAGCTAGTGTTTATGAAACTGCGCCCACATTTCTACTTCATCAAAGCTTGATATTTATGTAAGTAGTTCTTTGAGGGTAGAAGGTGGTGTCCATTTAATCCTTTTTAGAATCGTCAAGGAATTAAAGAGGTTGCCTATTGTCCTTTTCTCCTTATATACCTTTAAATTCTGAGTCTGAAGTTTGGAAGATCCTCTGCAGAAGATTTGGAAAGTTGCAAGGAGGTTTTAGGATAGGCAAGGCTTTCTTTCTTTATTGGCATGAGTGGGTATCAATTTATACAATATTGCGTTTTGCTTATATTGGTTGTTTTCCCACTAGGTTAACAGAATGTGGATATACATACAATGTGTTCTAACTTAAGAGAAGAAAACCTTGTCCTTAATTTTCCAGCCTAACTCTAAATTTACATGCATATGTGCAAATAATGTTTAATGCCATTGGTGGACTGCATGTACTTTTCAGCTAATAGGATGTCACCAATAATATCTTGACTTGCAAGGTAGTTTCTGGACTAGAGACCCTAATATGCAAGCATAAGCATGTTGGAATAAAATCTGATTTTAGTTGTGCTTGCAGCATACTAGCTATAGTGTATTCCAACTGATTGGTATTGGTAATCAGGAAATGCTGCATCTGACATGGGCATGATTGAGGCTGGCAATCTAATCTATACTTTCCTAATCAATAAAAAAAACAATCACCCCCCCCCTCCTTTCCAGGCATCGGATAGTCCCTGAGACTATTCAAAGGACTCTTGGGGAGTTTTTCCGAAACTTTGGTGGGCAGTCTTGTGGAGCACTTGGTTGACTAAGGGAATTCAAGGTCAACATCAGTTCTCAACAAGATTGCTTCTGTAATAGTATTTGAAAATGATCTTGGGAGATAGGACCTAGGCCTACAGCCTGGGCAACTGTCTGCTAAGAGGCAGCTCAGTCTGCAGGTGGGGTAAAGGCATGGGGATCATTTCAGAATGGATCTTTCTTAGTTTTTCAAAGACTAAAAAAAGAGAAGAAGCAAAAAAGAGGAGGAGCAGAGGACTAATCAAAGAGAGAAGCAACCTAATCAAAGAGAGAAGCAACCTAGATCTAAGGAGAAATTTCCTGACAGAACAATTAATCAGTGGAACAACCTGCCTCCAGAAGTTGTGAATGCACCAACACCAGAAGTTTTTAAGAAGAGACTGGACAACCATTTATCTGAAATATTATAGGCCGTGGTGGTGAACCTATAGCACGCGTGCCACAGGTGGCACGCAGAGCCCTTTCTGTGGGCACACGCGCTATTGCCCCAATCCTAGTCCTTCAGCTGGGTTTTATAAAACCTTTTTGCTCTAGGCCTCCACTGCCGTGTGCAAAAAAAAAAGGTTCAATCAATCAATTTCAACTTCTCACAGGAAAAAAAAAGATTTCACAAAGTTGGAATTGATTGATTGAACTTTTTAGTCCCACCCGGTCTGCCATTACCACCGCAACCATGCCCACCCAATGGGTCACGCACATCCAGCACCTGATGATAGATAAGTGGGTTTTGGGTTGCAGTTTGGCACTCGGTCTCTAAAAAGTTTGCCATCACTGGTATAGGGTTTTCTGCCTGAGCAGGGGATTGGACTAGAAGATCTCCAAGGTCCCTTCCAATGCTGCTATTACTACTATTACTACTATTACTACTGCTACTACTACTATTATTATTATTATTATTTGAGAAATACTTTCAATCTTAGAAAATTCAGTTAACGTAAGCTTACAATAAAATTCATTTTTAATTCTGGGTGTGCTTTTTGTCTGGACTACCTTGCAAGACAGACATCAGAGTTGCAAGACTGAAAATGACAAAATGGCAGTCCTGACCCAGTGCCTGGACATGGTTAAGGTCTGGATGGGGAGGATCATAGGCTGAACCTGTGAAGAAATGTGGGTCTGACTCAAAAGAGGAGGAGAGGAATGCTGAGCTATTACAAAAAGGATATCTGAATCCTGGAAAAATAGAAAGCAAGAAAAAGAAAATCAAACAACTCTGTGATAATTGCAAGTTGACATAGAGAGAGAGAGAGAGACTTTGACAGGCAATATTTTATTATAATATGCTAACCACATTGGAGTATATTTCTAATTTCTTAGTAATATCTGTTTATTGACCTTGCTTCAGTGGTGGGATTCAGCCGGTTTGCACCACTGCGGCAGGACCGGTAGCTAATTTTTTGTTGCCCAGGCCAAGAATGGACGTCTGGAAGCAGCATCCACACAGAGAACCGGTTGTTCACATATTTGAATCCCACTGTCACCCCGTCTTTGGCACCCACTCCAATAAAAGAAGCACCTCGCCAGGAACGGAGAACACCCAGTTTATTATGCACGAACAAACGGAATAAAGTCTGCGCGGCTGGAGGAGACCGCGGACGCATTACCAGACATTGTTAGGAACTACTGCCTTGCTTACCTTGAAGGGCTGACTTAGCCTTAAGAAAGACAAAATGGCTATAGATTCAAAGCTGTTCTGGATCTAAAGATGATGGCTGTAGATGCAGTTGTACTCCTCCATGGGAGCTAGCTTGGAATCTGGGACTTCTCCCAGAACTGGAGGACCTGCTGAAAACAAAGTGGTGGCCATCACCAGGAGAACCTTTGTACAGACCCTTGTGGCTCAACTGGGTTCCTTCCTGGATCAGGAGTTGTTATGCAGAATCACCTGTGACCTTGTTACTTCAGGGTTCAATTGTTACAACTCAGTTTAGATGGGGATGCTCTTCAAAGCTGCTCAGAAACTTATACTAATGTTTTAATGTTTCACTTCCTTGTTTGCTTCTCAAAGCCATTTTGGAATGTAATAGCATAGAATCTAAAAAACACAGTTTAATTGACCAAAAACCTGATGGGTAGGGGTAACCAATAATGGGCAAATCTAGTGTGATGAGTATGCCATGTGGTAGTCTGTGACTTGAAATATAAGAGAAGTAATGGTAAGCAGCATACATTAACAGTGTTTGTGAAAATAAGAAAAGAGGAAGAATGTCATACAACTGAATGTAAGTTGTTTGGTCTTCTGTAGAGGAGTTGAAGAATACATGAAAGAAAGTGAATGTGGACCTTATTGTAAATGAGAGTGAACATGGATAACACAAAATAGGACTTTTTATCATTATGGTTGTTGTGGATATATGTGAATCCATTGGTTGGTGATAGCTGCTGGTTATATTCCAATGAATGGTGATAATGGAAAAACCAGAGATGAGTTTTGGGAAACATTTTACAATAATCTGAATAAATGGACTACAAAGGAAAAAAGTGTTCTGTATGGTATGGCTGAATAAAATACAATGAGAGTAGGGGCTATTTGGATCCAAAATGAATGAGATTGGTAATTGGTAAATATTTACTTGGAGAAAATTTGTTTGTTTCAGATTCCAGGTTTTGAAATATGGTACAAAGACTGAATAGAAATCTAAAAGTATATTCTTCTTACGAGTGGCAGTAACAGCTATTTTGAGAAGACAATGAGAAACCATTTCCTTATTACTGCCAAGAAAATGACATGGATCTGTCCATGTAGTCACTAGGAACCAAATTTGACTTGAGGGAGTTTTTAACTTTAAATTTCAGATGTCCCATTGTTCCCCTAGGAAATCAAAGATCAAGAACTTGTACCAGAGTCCCTTTGATGCAGTTAAGGCTTTGCATCTGTTCTGTATAAACTATAATTAAAATACTAGATTTATTCAAGCCTTAATTAAAGTGCTAGATAGTCCTACGTATAGGGGATTTTTTTTTTAGAAAAAGTATTGAAGATGCCAACTATGGATTCTAGGGGCATTTGAAACCAACAGATTGTCATTTACTTAAATTCAAAGGTAAAATTTGACAATTAAATATTGCAATTTCTATACAAATTGTTAATTCTGCATTCCACCATCACCTCCATCTTCCAACTGTGATAAAGCACAGATTCCAATAGGAGCAGATTGTATGTTCAGTAGATACAATGGCTAGATAGGAGGGAGTTTAGAAGTTAACGCAGCTGGACAGTGGTAGATTATAGTTATAACCTTTATCCAAAAGATGCTTTTTCATGAGGCAACTGGATTTTCTTGTTTTTCTTTGAAGACGTTTTGCTTCTCATCCAAGAAGCTTCTTCAGCTCTGACTGGATGGTGGAGAATGGAAAGATTTATACTCCTTGCAGGCAATGGTCCTTTCTGTCCAAAATGTGGACTTTGCTGTCTTCGAAAGTGGCCTTTGTCTTTTAATGCAGATGGACTGCTGACTCTTATCCTGATGGGTTTGTTCTCCTATGTTGTACCATGCGTTTATAAAGTTGTTGTTTCATTTCCCCAATGCACAGATCTGCACGAGGCTCACTGCATTGTACTGCATATACCAGGTTGCTCAGTTTGTGTCTGGGTGTTTTATCCTTGGGGTGGACAAGCCTCTGCCTTAGTGTATTCTTGAGTTTGAAGTGTGCACGTATGTTGTGTTGGTTGAAGAACCTCCTGAACCTCCTGAGCTTTTCTGATATTCCTGCAATATATGGAATGACTACTCACTCTTTCAAAGACAGAAAAGTCCATATTTTGGACAGAGAGGACCGCTGGTTTAAAAGAGGGGTCAAAGAGGCCATTTATGTCAAAATTGAACAGCCCTCTCTCAACAGAGGAGGGATCCAACGTCATCTATCTCCAGTCTACAATACAATCCTTTCAACTGTTCCAAGAAGGCTCCACATCCATTTGCACTATTCAGGTGACCCTGAAGACACAGATAAGCCTCCAGGTAGCTTTAACAACTCGCTAAAAGAATGCAAATGAACAGCTGTCTGCAGAAGCATAAATCTTTCAGCCAGAGCTGAAGAAGTTTCTTGGATGAGAAGCGAAACGTCTTCAAAGAAAAACAAGAAAGTCCAGTTGCCTCGTGAAAAAGCATCTTTTGGATAACTATGACCTGGATGACTGAGAATCTCCATAGACATTTAGTTATAACCTTTAATTATTTAAATCTGGTCATAACTTCTCTTGCCCATTTCATTTCATTCATCATTTCATTTTCTTCATGATACTGCTATGACTATCAAATATTTCACTGGTTATATCATGAAATGAGGGTGTTATTAAATATTGGCTTAGGGAGACATCTTCTATTACAAGTTACCACTGGGTGCACAAGCTACTATTTTGCTAAAGAGTTGCCACAGTTTGAATGCTATGATGAATTGCTTGGAGAAAAGCCTTCAGTTATGTGAGGCATAGTTCTGAATAGACACATAAAAAACTGCACATTGACATTGATTTCCATCTTTGTAACTACAATGCTTCAGAATCTTGAGTTATGTTTTTTCCTTCTCCTTTCATTGCAGTTCCTACCATTTACATGGGACTAAAAAGAGTTAACTAATCTAAGTTTCAGTATTGAAAGTCGGTGAGGGAGAGAAGAACTCTTTCCCATGTGTTTGCCCCAGAGGTTTAGTCCTTGACAGAATTAAGCAACGCGTGAGGAGAGAGAAGCTTGTTCAAAGGATGTTGGAAACAAAACTACTCATGTCAGCTTGCTGAGGACAGACTCATTGTCCTAAAATAATCCCCTCTGTGCTGATTCACTTCTATTATACAACTGGTAATACTACTGCCAATAAAAATGCTTAAAGAAAGATGCTGACAAATGAAACATCTTTTCCAGTTTAATTTGTAAGAGAGGATTTCTCACATTGTCCTTAAAATAGTTTATATTTTATTTTATTTTTTGTCAGATCTACAAAGACTTAGACATTATATCTTTTCAACAACAAGTCAAATTCTGGGATATGGAAGAAAGAACTGTCCATGGAAAGAACTGGATACATGTCCTCTAACACTAAAGATGAAAGCAAAGGATATGGAATGGCTTTCCCAACCTGGAAATACTTTTATTTGGTTGGACAAGGCTCTCAGACAAACTTCAGTTTTGATATCTATTGGTTTCTTAGTAATTAACGACTAAGTTCCTACAACTTAGCTAAGAATATATCTAGCTAGACCCATACATATAATTTTCTAAAGAATTATTTCTGGATTCTAAACTAGACTGGATATAAATATGTACTTACCTGCTCTGTTTTAGCTTTATATAGCTAATTATATAGTTATCTAACATTATTATGGGTTGCTTGAATGAGCACCTTAGAAATGGAAAAAATGTGAATCTAATGGAAAATACCCATGTCAACTGCTTACCTTGACTAGAAAGAAATAGTAACTTTGTCTATATCCATAAAAGCAAGCTGCACATTGCATTGTGATGCGGGTGGAATTGTGATGCGAAGTGTTTTAGAAATCCATCTAGGAATAATCAGGGATTACTGGGAAGAAGTTCTGAGGGCTCCTACAGTTACAGATCTGTGGGATACTGACAGGATGTTTTGGCTCTGAAGAAGACTGGTAATCAACAACACATCTTAAGGAATCTCTCATTCCACTTGCAGCTTTTACAGAGAAAGCTCTGTCACCTGCGATTTTTCCAAATATATTTTCTCTCTTTCTCCCATCACAACTTAAAATTTTCCTGTCAATTTTCCTGGCTTGCATGAATTCAATCTTTGTAGGTACAGATACATCACCACGTTTGAATATCTTTTCCAAGATCTTCATTGCTACTCTATCAAATGTTAGTCTGCAGCGTATTTCCTAACTCTTTGTTCCTTTACTATTGATGGTTTAACCTAAAAGACAGAAGCTATCGTGTTAATATCTTCCTTGTCAAGAAGTTATCACTGAATTGAATGTCACTTATCATTGGTAAATAACTTTTGGGGGGAATCCTTAGAATTCTGCGTTGATTCCTGGCATCTACCTGGATTAGTTCCTGCAGTTTTCTTGGCAAGGTTTTTTAGAATGTTGTCCTTGTCTTCTTCCTAGGGTTGAGAGAGGGATTGGCCCAAAGTCACCCAACTGATTTTTGTGTCTCAAGCAGGACTAGAACTTTCTAGTTTCTACCCCAATATACCAGTGGCTCTAAATAGCTATAGAATTGTAGTTTAAATTGGCATGATAGACAAATATCTATTTTGTTCTCCAATAAAAGAATGAGAATGCAACAAATTTGTCACTTAAATGTCACAAATAATTCCTTGCTATGACACTTTTTCCTTAATTTAGTTCAAATATTATTGTTGCTTTCTTTTCAGTGCTCTATTCAATGCTTTCTCTTCAGTACTCAATCAGCCAACCTTATTATTAGACTTGTAGAAAATCCAAGAAAGCATTAAAAATTTCATGAGATCCTTTGGCCCTATTTTTGCCTAATGGAGTAACACTGGAAAGATCACCTGGAATTAACAAAACCTTTATCCCCTTGGTGCTATATTTCAGTGACAAGGTCCTAAATCTCAAAAGTTCACAATTTTCAGGTGATGAATAGTGGCTTTCATTTTGAGGGCAGAAGGTTCTTGTTGCCCAGAAGTTCAGCCATTCAGTGATCTTCAAATGCTATTTACTTGATAAAAAGCAATTTAGGCCATCAATCTTTGGGGAAGGACAAGACTCAGAACAATATATGAACAGTAATCTCAGGAAGCAATTTTTAAAAAGAAAGAAAGAAATGGTGTGTTTTATTCCCTTCCTGACTTACACTTTTCTAACGTAAACGTGTCATCTAGTGGCCTTACTAGCCTTTGGGAGTTTTGCCTAGCTGCTGATTCTGTAAACTGCTTAGAGCAGGGGTCCCCAAACCCCAGACTGTGGCCCAACACTGAGCCATTTGGAACCAGGCCGCTGAAGTGGCAGGCGAACCTGGACATCCTCACTTGCATGTGCGCACACTCCATTTGCATGAGTGGCAGACACATGTGCTCCCCGATCATGCAAATGGAGCTGAACGCACAAACATATTTGTCTGCCACTCACATGGAACCATCCCCTTCCCCCTGCTGGGTCCGCAAAACTGGAAATGTTGGGGAACTTTGGCTTAGAAGTTCTAGAAGTTGTAAAGCACTATGAAGTGTTATAAAAGTCTAAGTGCTATATTCCAGACACATTTTAGATCCTTACATGAACTAATTCTCTCTATTTACCATCTATTGTTATAATAATACTCCCTCACTACCTTCACTCCAATGTTATAATCAGTGATTTGCTGACACAACCATTTGCTTTGTTCTTCTGAGTATGTCTGTGCTGGCATAACACATTTTAGAGTTAAGTTGTAAAAGTGCAATTCCGCAATAAAAAGCAGTGGGGCAGTAGTCCCATTGGCATTGATGGAATTTTGCAAATTTTAATAGAAAGCATACTTCATCCTTTCAATTTTATGCTAAAGGCTATACAGTATAGTAAAGATGCCGATAATAGCAATGCCAAAAGTCAATATGTCTAAGAAAAAACATGGTGTCTTTGTTCTCCACAGTTATACACAACTTTCACTTATACATAAACTTGCTGTGAAACTGATGTGACTTTTAAATGAAGTATAGCATATATTAGAATCCAGTAAGTAAGCATTAGTCGCGATGTTTGTATGAGGAGGACACTACACCACACACACACACACACACACACACACACACACAGAGAGAGAGAGAGAGAGAGAGAGCATTCTATATGCAAACCTGTACTATATTTCATTCAAACTAAACTTTTACTATAACAGTAACAGAATGATGCTTCTCATGTGATGAATGTGTGTATGAAAGGGTCCAATTTTTCCATCTAATAAATATTATCTTTGATTGTCTGAATGACTCTTGTGTAAATGAACATTTTGAATTATCAAGCTGACTGGAAAGGTTGAATTGTGAGAAACAGTGGCCAAAAGAGGTGGCAGAAAGCAATTTTCCATTCTAGGAGCTCAAACTTTACAAACAGCAGAAGAATCTATTGAATGGAATGATCAGTGATGTGCAGCCTAAAATTAAACAAGGATTATTAAAAGTTGGATAGAAATAACTGATTAGGAGTAGAAATTTAGGACATAAATTCCATACCAGAATGTTGCTCTATAAACTTCTTGAAACCAATTTAAGTGCACTTTTAAAAAAAGAATTTAAGTTATGCTTGCCAAGAGTGGAGAAAGGGAGACCTCTTTTGGTAAAGTTGAATAATTCACCAAAATATTTGTAGACAGAAGCATTTGTATGTTTATTGCCTGTTCCATTGCTTATAACAGCGGTTCTCAACCTGTGGGTCGCGATCCCATTTGGGGTCGAATGACCATTTCACGGGGGTCGCCAAACAACGTAGTCCGCCATTTTTTCCCTCTTTTCCTTAGCTGTGCTACTCCCTTTTATTCTATTGGCTTTTGAAAGCCAATAGAATAGATTCTCTTGAATAGAGTCTAATTCTATTGGCTTTCAAAAGCCAATAGGAATTGTCCAGGCTGTCTCTGCCCTGCTGAGCCCGCCAAAAGCCCCAGTCTGCAAGTCCTCAACTTACAACTGGTTGGGGTCGCGGTATTAAAAAGGTTGAGAACCACTGGCTTATAAAGTAGTGTAAATTGTTTCCTCAGCTTTGTTCTGAGTTAGCCAGTTAGCCAGTTATGTAATGAAAGTATTCAATGGATCAAGACAAAACTAAATTCATTTCATTTACATTTAAATGTTATTCAAATTAAAGGTAGGTATGAACCCATCGTTCATAATACTATTTAATTATGTTTTTCTTCTATAAATGAACCATTATAATTTGATGGCATGCTCTGAAGGTCTCTAGAGCCCCACCTTATTCTAAAGACACAGTTTTGAATCTCTGGTTTTTGGCTACCAGCGCTTTAGTATTTGCCCTAAAAATTTGACTTCTCTACTTCTCTTTTGGAGAAGCAGTAGGTGGATATTTCCCACTCAGCAATCTGCTGACAAGATCCTTTGCTACTTTTGAAGGATGAACAGTGCTATTTCCTGTATCATCTCTGGGAACAGCTTCTGCATGATAATGTGTATAGAACAGCTGTTCTTGGTGTATGTTGTGGTGGTACAGTGGTTAGAATGCAGTATTGTAGATTACTTCTGCTGATCTGCTGGCTGCAGTTTGCCACTTCGAGTCTCACCAGATCAAGTTGATTCAGCCTTCCATCCTTCTGAAGTTGATAAAACGAGGATCCAGTTTGTTGGGGGCAATATGCTGACTCTGTAACCACTTAGAGAGGGCAGTAAACCACTGTGAAGTGGTATATAAGTCTAAGTGCTATTGCTAAGTGCTATTGCTATATATCTGGTAATTGCTACACAATTACCAGATATATGAAGTGCTGCCAAGGACTCCCCAGCTTTGGCTAAATTGAAAGATTGTAAACTGACATATTATAGGAATTTGTTGTATTACATACTTGAATACTTCAACTTGATGATCATTTGGATGATGTGAAAATGTGATGTATTCTCTAAGAGAGAGAGAAAAAAGTCTATACCAGTGATGGCGAACCTTTTAGAAACCAAGTGCCCAAAAACTGGCCCCGCTCCTGCTCCACCCCCTGCCTCGCCCCCACCCCGCCTGCCCGCAGGACCACTCAGGGCCTCCGCCTCCAGGGCCTGTCGCAGATTGCCCAGGCAACCCAGCAGCGCCACAGCAGTTACGCCCTCTGCCTGTGCCCTGCAGCATCAACTGTGCATGATGGGGTGTGAGGGCAGAGTCTTGTCTACGCTGCCTGGCTGCCATTTTCTTGGCTGCGCTGTTCCGCATAGGCCATGCTCGGGGGCGACTCTCCTCCATGGGAGCTGCTGGTGAGGAGGGGGTCATGGGAGGAGGCAAGGCTGGGGCAATGACACGTGTGCCCACAGAGAGGGCTCTGAGTGCTGCCTCTGGCACACGTGCCATAGGTTCACCATCACTGGTCTATACAAACATATACCAGGGAAAACTTGTGTATATTAGTAAAACCAGCAATCTATGAGGGGATGTTAATTGCAAAATTGCCTTTGGAGAAAGCATCTGCAAAAGAATGTTTGGAGAAATGTAACCTTTGAAAGACAGGCAGTTTGGAAAAAGTGAGAATCTGACAGATTCATCAATTTTTCATTAAATGAACATGTTAAAATGTAGTGCACATGCAAAAGTTATTTTTTTCAAAAATTGCTAATCTATCACCCATGGATGAAGACTTCCCATTATCCAACTGAAACTCTGGTGTTGTTGAATCTTGTGTGGATTATTGCACATCATACAGTTTTCTAGGGGCAATCACTCTTCTGAGAGGAGAACTGA